ACTATAAACCAACCGAGGATCAGATTATATTAGGTGATTACTATAAACCAATCAGGGTTCAGATTACATTAGGTAACTTCTATAAACCAATCAGGGTTCAGATTAAATTAGGTAACTACTATAAACCAACCGAGGATCAGATTATATTAGGTGATTACTATAAACCAATCAGGGGTCAGATTACATTAGGTAACTTCTATAAACCAATCGGGGTTCAGATTAAATTAGGTAACTACTATAAAACAATCAGGGTTTAGATTACATTAGGTAACTACTATAAACCAATCAGTTATCAGATTATATTAGGTGATTACTATAAACCAATCAGGGTTCAGATTGAATTAGGTAACTTCTATAAACCAATCAGTTATCAGATTACATTAGGTAACTTCTATAAACCAATCAGTTATCAGATTACATTAGGTAACTACTATAAACCAATCACGATTTAGATGAGAATTAATGGTTTACTGGATATGTATATTACTATAAAATGTATACCGGTATTCATAAAATATACGGTTGTCATCAATGGATGATTCTATGTGTTCTTGCAGCTAATATTTTACTGTTGTATGTTTATATTTCAGTTTACTTTATATGGATTATTTGCAAATTACTTCATTCCAATACTGGTATTCTGTCTCAGTGTTATCCTCATAGGATTTCTGCAGGTCAGTATGCCTATAAACATTGTTGTGTGTCTTCCAAAACAGTACAATCTTTGTTAAGAAGGCAAGTCGTTTGCTGAATATTCTTAATAGACTAAACATAGATAGAGTATGTTAATTATATTTCAAAATTACACGGATATTATCATTAAATCAAAAGTCATGCTGATAACACTCTAAGACTTGTGATATAATGTATACCACTCGTGTGATATAATGTATACCACTCTTGTGATATAATGTATACCACTCTTGTGATATAATGTATACCACTCTTGTGATATATGTATACCACTCTTGTGATATAATGTATTCCACTCTTGTGATATAATGTATACCACTCTTGTGATATAATGTATACCACTCTTGTGATATATGTATACCACTCTTGTGATATATTGTATACCACTCTTGTGATATAATGTATACCACTCTTGTGATATAATGTATACCACTCTTGTGATATAATGTATACCACTCTTGTGATATAATGTATACCACTCTTGTGATATATTGTATACCACTCTGATTTCAACAATAATGATTTTTTGTTTTTAAATCACAGGCTCTCATTGTACTGTATGCATTTAAGTATGATAGTAAGATATTAACGGCAGATTTAAACGCAAACCCAGAAAAGGTAACAATAAATATCATGAATTACATTATATACATTTCAACAGAATTTTAAAGTGTCTGTGAAATGCCCACCTACACTTTTATGTTTTGGTTTCAGTTGCCCTGAAATATGAAAAAATAAAAAGTATATAATAAATTATCATTGTAACCACGTCCGCTACCTGCTACAAGCTTTCCGACTTTTCAAGTGAAACTGCACCATCAAATGTCAGACAAAGGGGGAGCCATGTCCTTAATGCCATGAAAACTTGTAGTTGTAAAACTGCTCTTTTTACAAGTGTGTGGATTACTAGTATGCTAATGAGAATCATGATTTTGTTGTCCGGATATTAAGAACATTAAATATGAAGTAAATAATGATACATGGTCAAGTGATTGAGCAATGAAAAATGTGCATTCGCATATAATGGGTCACTTAGTGCGTCCACATATGGTGTCAATGACCTGAATCAAATTTAAAAAGAAATTAGTTGTGTGACATGCTTTTTATTCTTCTTAAATTTTGTTGCCATAGATGATTTTCAGCAGGCATGTTGTTATAGCCAATGCTGGAAAACAAATCATCAAATAATGCAATTGAATTACAATTAGTTAAATATTCTTTTCATATTCACCAATTTTCTTTTCTTTTTTTTTAGAATAAGACAAAACGAGGTCTGCTTCAAGTTATATTAACAAATCCTGCCATATGTGTGGTATCACTTTTGCTGTCTGCGATAAGCTACTCACTTGTAAGTATAAAATTGATAGTTTTAAATTTGTTTTCAAACAATGAATGTTTGATGCACAATAGATCTTTTTTTGTTTCACACTCGCTCATCAGATTTCCTTTTATCTAAAAATTAAACAATATCATCTGCATATTCCTGTACCCTAGATTTCTGAATATGCATATTGCTTTTTTTAATAGTTTAATGTACAGTAACTGGCAGAGTGAATAATAAATTAAATCAATCAATCAGGAATTAATGCTGACTTACTTACTTAAAATAAATAATATTCAAATGATTCTGTGTACAACAAATTATGGGTTTATTTATATGCACTTCTATTGGAGAGGTACTTTTAGTAGAGTATATACTGTAAGTATTTTTAGTCTCCGTTTGGATGTAGGTTGAAAACTGTGTGTGTGTGTGTGTGTGTGTGTGTGTTTTTATGTGTGTGCGAACCTACATATCTTAGTCATGGCTGGACCAATTACCTTTAAAATTTACACATACATCATACTTGATATTATACATATGCACATCAATTTGTTTCATGATCTAGCTGATTCAAGGTGGTTGAATGACGGCCATTTTTGTGCTGAAAAATCATCAAAATCATGCATTTCTAGCATTTTGTTACAGATTGATTTTGTTCAAACTTGGTACATACAGTTGTACCTTGGACATTATAGAACCTTGATGCACATCATTTTGTTTTTCGGATCAGATTCAAAATGGCCGTCTGGGGGCCGTTTAGTTTTAATGAATGTGATTCTACTGTCATATCTCCGACTTGCTTTATATGATTAAGTTAAAATTTTATTTATTCATTATACATCATGTCATAGTTTGCAGATGAATTGGTTTGACAATTCAATTCAAAATGGCCAAATGATGGTCATTTTTGTGCTAAAAAAGCATAAAAAATCAAGCTGTCTGTCATTCCGGAACATGATCTCTTTTGATTATGGATGGATTTTGTTCAAACTTGGAACATACATGGATATTATGGAACATTTGTTTTTCAGATCGTATCTGAAGTGGGCTGCCATTTTGTTTTTATGAATGTTGTTCCAGAGCAATATCTAACATGCTTTGACTGATCATGTGTAAACTATATATATATATATACATCATGTCGCACATATCCACAGGTATTATTTTGGCAATCAGATTCAAGATGGCCAAATGTCAACTGTTTAAATTTTGTAAAAAATCATCAAAATCAAGCATTTCTTCCATTCAATTTTACAATGAATTCTCATCTCTCATGTCTGACATTCTTTGGTCGATTGCAATTACATTTTACAGCGACATTGCACATGTTTATTACTATGCATATATTTCATGTTCTTCAAAATCAAGCATTTTTGGCATTCTAAAACCGGATATCGGTTGTTTATGGATAGATTTTGTTCAAACTTTGTACATACATGAGATATTATGAGTCCCTGATGCATAACATTTTGTTCTTCAGATCAATTCAAAACGGCTGAAGGGTGGCCATTTTGTTCTAATGAATGCGATTCTAGAGCCATATCTCTGACATGCTTTGACTGATGTTCAAATTTTATATATTCATTATACATTATATTGCTTTGACAATCTGATTCAAAAATGGCCGACTGGTGGTCATTTTGTTTTAATTAATGCTGTTCCAATGCAATATCTCTCAATATGGACAAGTACTTGTTTGATGATCAGACCCTGGATGACTGAATTTTAATTACTTTAATGTTAAAAAATTATCATAGTCGAGCATCAGCTTCTGGAACCATATCTCTAACATGTTTATGTTCCAACTATATTTCTATAAACAAATATATATATACTCTAAATTTGATAACTACTGGGGACTGTGCCATGCATGGCTTGTATTTTAATAACTTTATTCATTTTCTTTTCTTTAAGAGTCATGTTGCCATACTGTTGATACTATTTGGACAACCGCTCCGAAAATTGGTTTTCAGTATCTACAATAAGTGTAAAAGTAAGTACACACTTTTTTGCTTTGTATTCATGACATCATAGATCAGTTTCTATGAAAAAATGATTTTTGTTTTAGGTTTCCACTTCATTAGTCCCCTGTTCAAATGCAGTCCACAAACAATGACTTGTTGATTGACCTCAGCATGTGTGTGTGCATACACGTGTCTGTGCTTGTGTGCCCACCTATATATGGACATGCATACATTAAACAATTTACACAACGTGCATTTTACATTTTGGAATCCATATACATGTTTGTCCATTCATTTCAGGCCAAATTCAAGATGGCCAAATGGCAGTAATTTTTAGGCTTATGCTTCAAAATCAAGTATTTCAGCCATTCTGGTTACAGATCTTGGTTATACATGGACAGCTATTGTCCATCATATCTTGGTACACACAATGAACATGTATGTAATATATATATAATTTATATATAAACAGGACCATATCTTTTTTCAGATCAGATTCAAAATGGTCGAATGCAAAAGCTGTTCTAGAGCCATGTCTTTGACATACGATGTATATTGACTGATCACAATTAAACATTACAACTACATGACATGAAAAGAAAGCAGAAATAAAACTTACTAGTACTCACTAATTTACTTAATACTCTTATGTAATATTGTTTCATGTTCTGATTCAAGATGGCTGACTTGTTCGTTTTGTTTACTATTTAACTAACAGGGACTTGTATTTTAGTCATCTAAATTTTTGTGTTTTCATCAATTTAGTTAGCTATGCAGTTGATTATTTTTTTAACCATACTTTTCTCACATATGGTTGTATTGTGTCATAAATTCATTGTTAATTAACTCAAATTTACAACATTGCATGAACCAACATGTCATTGACAAACCTTAAAATTGATGTAAATTCTATGAATTTGTTTTCCTCAGAAGTCTTAAAACTAACTTTTCCTATGATTTCTCCGAATTTTTTATGTAGGGACTGCATATTGTTTCCCCAAGTATTGCTTGTATCAGAAGTAAATTACATTTTATTTTCAAGTAAATAGTGACTGCAGCCATTGTTCACAATCTTTTTCTTCTTGTGACTTAGAATGTGGTCAAGCAAATATGCCACATTTGGAGTACATACCAGACAAATACACACAAGAGAAGCTTTCCATGGAGCGCATTGAAGCATTCAGTGATGGCGTGTTTGCAATTGTCGCAACACTTATTATCCTGGATATATGGTAAGTTGTATTCTATTTCATGCCAATATTTCTTCATTCATTTGTGTTTATATTCTCACTTTCTGTCATTCAGTGGAATTGCCTCGTTTAGTTTCTGCTCTTCCGCTATGCATGCTTGTTCATATTGCATATGTTTACTTTCAGTTCTTCATGTAAATAGAATTTACCATTACGTGAAATGCCATCAACATTCAAGTTGATTGACGTCGCGTTGAACACATAAATCCAGTCACCAAATGCAATTATCACACAGCACAAAACAATTTTCATAAGCATTTTTGGCTGTTATATCTTAATAAGTAATTATAAACAGAAAAAAGATGTTTAATAATAACAAACAGCCTTTTGGCTGAGATAACTCCGCTGTTAGCAATGCACATTTCAATTAAGAACTGGAGATATCATTAGAAAATGAACAATATGTATAGTATCAAAGCAATTGGATTTTCTGTTTTCAACAAGAATTAAAAAATATCACTTTTTACCAAAAATGACAAAAATATTCATCAAAATTAGAAAATTAAAGATATCATCACGAAATGAACAAATCTGAGAGAGGTCCACATGTAGTACCTTTATATGTAATATCAAAGCAATCAGACTTGCTGTTTTTTACAAGAAGTCAAAAATATTACTTTTTACCAAAATGACAAAAATATTCATCAAAATTATGGAATTGAAGATATCATCACGAAATGAACAAGTCTGAGAGAAGTCTACATGTAGTACCCATATATGTAATATCAAAGCAATTACAAGAATTCGAAAATATCACTTTTTACCAAAAATATTCATCAAAATTAGAGAATTTAAGGTATCATCACAAAATGAACAAATCTGAGAGAGATCCAGATGTAGTACCTATATATGTAATATCAAAGCAATCAGACATGCGGTTTTAAACAAGAGGTCAAAAATATCACTTTTTACCAAAAATGACAAAAATATTCACCAAAAATAGAGAATTTGAGATTTTGACATGAAATGAACAAATCTGAGAAAGAACCATCCAAGGTACTTGCATATCAAATTTGAAAACATTCTGAGTTGCGGTTTCAAAGAAGAAGTTAAAATTGTAAAGTTGACGACGACGGACAATCAGTAATATGAACAGCTCCGCTGTGTCGACTTTGTCGACAGCGGAGCTAATAAGGTTATCAAAAAATACCACAGGTACATTCGTCGTAATGTCTTTATCCATACTTTGAGATATTAACCTTGTTGTATCATCAAAATCAAGCATTTTTTAATGAATGATGGATTTTGTTCAAACTTGGTACATACATTGGACATTGTGGGACTTTGATTGTTTTTCAGATAAGATTCAAAATGACTGGCGGCCATTTTGTTTTAATGAATGTGGTTCTAGTGCCAAATCTCTAATATGCTTTGACTGATTATTTTCAAATTTTAAATATGCATTAAACATAACTCATAGATGTTAAGATGTATTGGTTTGGCGATCCAATTCATAATGGCTGAATGGCGGCCATTTTTGTGCTGAAAAATCATCGAAAAATCATGCATTTTTGGCATTCTAAAACTGGACCGGAATCGGTTGTTTATGGATAGATTTTGTTCAAACTTTGTACATACATGAGACATTATGAGTCCCTGATGAATAACATTTTGTTTTTCAGATCAATTCAAAACGGCTGAAGGGTGGCCATTTTGTTTTAATGAATGCGATTACTGATGTTCAAATTTGATATAATCATTATACATTATATTGGTTTGACAATCAGATTCAAAATGGCCGACCGGTAGCCATTTTTAGTCCCCGTTCGGACGCAGTCCGAAAGCGGGGACTTGTGTTTTGACCTCTGTGTGTCCGTCCGTGCGTCTGTGTGTGCGTGCGTCCGGACCTGTATCTTAGAAATGCCTGGACCAATCACAATCAAACTTCACACATACATCATACATGATATTTTACATATGCACGTCAATTTGTTTCACGATCTGATTCAAGATGGCGGAATGGCGGCCATTTTTGTGCTAAAAATCATCAAAATCAAGCATTTTTCGGCTGTTTACAGATTATGTTCAAATTTTAAATATTCATTATACATCATGTCATAGTTAGACAGATATATTGGTTTGACGATCCTATTCAAAATGGCCGAATGGTGGCCATTTTTGTGCTAAAAAAATCATCAAATATCAAGCATTTCTGGCATTTATGGATGGATTTCGTTCAAACTTGGTACATATATTAGACATTACAGGTTTCTGATGCACATCATTTATTTTTCAGATCAGATTCAAAATGGCTGTCTGGTGACCATTTTGTTTTAATGAATGGGTTTCCAGACCCATATCTCTGACTTGTTTTGACTGATTATGTTCAAATTTTTAATATTCATTATACATCATGTCATAGATATACGAATATATTGGTTTGACGATCCTTTTCAAAGTGGCCAAATGGTGGCTATTTTTGTGCTAAAAAAATCCTCAAATATCAAGCATTTCTTGCATTTATGGATGGATTTTATTCAAACCTATAACATACATTAGACATTACAGGTTCCTGATGCACGTCATTTTATTTTTCAGATTGGATTCAAAATAGCTGACTGGCGGCCATTTTGTTTTAATGATTGGGCTTCGAGAGCCATATCTCTTAAATGCTTTGACTGATTATATTCAAATTTTATATATTCGTTATACATCATGTTATATATATATATATATACATGTATTCAAAATGGCTGATTTTGAATGCTGTTCCAGAGCAATATCTCTCAATATGGACAAGTACTTGTTTGACAATCAGATACAAATGTCAATCTTTTTAATGTTAAAAAATCATATTCCTGACATGGTTATATTCCAGCTATATTACTATAAACAAAACTATAATATATCTTAAATTTGATAACTAACGGGGACTGTGCCATGCATGGCTTGTTTTAATAAATGCTGTTCCAGAGCAATATTTTTTAATATCGACAAGTACTTGTATTATATTGCTAGAAACAAAACTATATAACTTAGATTTGATAACTAACAGGGACTGTGCCATGCATGGCTTCTTTTGTTTTCTAATGCAGTGAAGATGACATACCCGATCAGGATGATGTTGAAAAGATGGGTGGAAGTTTAGATAAAGCATTACTTGAAAATGGTTCGGTGTATTTGTCATATATTGGTACTTTTACCACTGTTGGTATGCTCTGGTTTGTACACCATTCACTTTGCCATGTAAGTATGGATTTAAATTTATCACTGTTGGTATGCTCTGGTTTGTACACCATTCACTTTGCCATGTAAGTATGAATTTAAATTTACCACTGATGGTATGCTCTGGTTTGTACACCATTCACTTTGCCATGCAAGTATGAATTTAAATTTACCACTGATGGTATGCTCTGGTTTGTACACCATTCACTTTGCCATGTAAGTATGGATTTATATTTTAAAAATTTAATACATTGATCAGAAAAACCTCATACTTGCCTCAAGTTTGTGTAATATCTAGGATTTTTAATTGTTTCTATTTTCTGTGTTTCTCCTTGCAGTATATAATGGAGTGCAATAGAACAATGTCTTTCTTTAACACAATGGTGAGCATATCGCCCTGTTGAATCACAATATCAGTTCTCACTACTCACACTATAAAAACAAATAGAAATTTTTTCGGATTGTTATGATTTTAACCTAATCTTTAGTAACAATTTTTGACTGATCCAAAAGCTGTTATTTAATATTTGTACTGTATCAATTTTACTGAAATACATGTACCAATTGGGAGAGCAAAGCCAAAGTTAATTACAATCAAAATTGTATCCTTGTTATGGATATTTCTAATTATGATTTTTAAAACATGAACTTTAGTATTATTCTGATGAAAACTAATTGTTTTAAGCTCTTATACATTTGATCTTTGTTGTTGTCTTGCAGTCACTTTCCTTCATTGGGTGTGCACCTCTGGCATTCAAATTAACAAGTACATATGTGGAGTTTCAGTTTGTTCATAATGAGAGATATGCCATCCAGTTCAATTGTTTTATTTTATTCATGGCCAGCATATTCCAATTGTTGACTTTCATCACAGCACTGTGCAAACCGTGAGTACCAACATGTTGAATACCAAACAGCTGCATCTTTGTCTTACCATGTAAAGCCTAACTCTAAGTCGATTTTGATCAAATTTACGTACAATGAGGTAATATGACAAGATATGATTAGTTTCAGGGGATGATTGGCACGAGAGGGCGCCATCAGATCTGAATGGAACGTTTCGAAGTCAGTCGTCCGTAGCCCATCGTCAAAGCAACAACGTCCCGTTTACGAACAGATGAAATAATTTCAGCAATTTCTTTACAGAATAATTCTCAACAAATCTTAGAAACATTTCATAGAAAAATACAGGCTCCAAAATTATATATATTGACTGAGCCAGAGTTCTACGGGTGATTTTATTGGATTCAAAACTGTTCCATTTCAAACTGCACATGCACACACACTGTGGTTTCTCAAAATGCATACTACCGGTAATTAGGTAACTTGTCATTGAGCAATTTTGAGCAATAGTACTAGAGAGGAATATAAATGTGCCTCTGCATTCTCCATGAATTTCGTAACTTGCTATGATCAGGGTAAAGAAAAAACCTGTGGTTACTTTCAACAGTTTGCTGGAGTCTGATCAAAAAACGTGTCTCAAAAAACACCATTACATTATTTTTCAAGAATAATAAGTAAGATGATTGGTTGAATTGATGCAATCCTTTTGGGAATAGTGAATTCTAGCACACTTTAGAAAACCACTTGGTGTTGGAATGAACTTTTTCATGCAATATGGTGATGTCTGCAATTGGATCAAAGGAACTTTTGCAGTCAATGTCAAATTATGAATAAAAAAATCAATATCCTGTCACATACATGCCTGTTGCAATGTATTTTCGGCACACATCGTAGAACATTTCATATTAAATAAAGAATAACAACCAAAGATACCAAGGGTACAAGAAAAAAAAACACTAGTCCACTAGTCTGGACTTCTACCCACACATTTATGCTGGTCCTGAATGAAATTTACTAGACTCAGGATAAGAGGACCAGTGTGTGTGTCGAACCCTGCTTCATCTGATATAGCACTGCAGGGATTCATCATTGTTTAAATAATCTTAAAAAGAATGCACTGAAAGCATTCCCTCCAAATCATTTTGTTCAAATGAAAATGTGTAAAACTTTATATTAGCATAATCTGTTGTTTTATAGTTCTATAATGCATTTACTGCTAGATAGATAATAGTTTTATTGTGCAAGTTTTGTTCCAGTATATAAATTGTAAACATTGCAGGTATCAGTATAATTGTACATCATCTTTTGGTTTTATTTCTCCGTTTTGATACAGGTTCTATCGAATGCATCCCAGCGCATCATACCATGGTCAAGAACATGCATATTTAACTGCAAAGCTTTGTATATTTCCTTTAGTAAGGTAACTATTTGTAAAATACACTCCGGGACCTGTGAATGGTACTTATTGAATATATGTATCGGTATGTGGTGCTTTAATCGTGTTCAGAGTATGTGTATGCATCTACTCAATAAAACAGTTTTTGACCAATGGTAAGGCTCAACACATTGCTTCAAAAGCTAGCAGAAATGAGCATGAAAAAGCAGTGTCAACAGGCAAGGTGTTTAACAATATGGGGAAATCACAAGGTCACTTTCCACAAAAGCTGTATATGGTATTATTACCATAGGGTATGGTATACATATTGAAACACTCATACTCTCTGGTAGATTCTGTGTTGTACATTTGGCTTGAGATGAGACTAATAGGATTTCCACACTGTTGTCAATAAGTGAATCATGGCTTTGAGTTAATTTATGGTATTATTTTTGTTGTATTAACCTTTGCTTTTTTTGGGGTGCCATTTCAATCATAGACCTTAGAAAGAGGTCTATGTTTGAATAGATTCTCTTGCAAATTACCCATAACTCCTTGCTTATAAAACATCACTGTCTACAGGAGCTGAGTGTAATCCCATTTAATATATTATCATTGTCTTAACATGTTGACCTAGGGCATGACTCATTCAATTTATACAATCTAGTTTTCACTATCATGATTTTAATTCTGTTTCTTTTATTTTCAGTTTAGTGATATTTTTCCTAGGTTTCAAATCTGATATTCTGTCAGCATATGTTTTCAACTTTGTAAGTATTAGTTCATTTTAAAATATTAAAGAAATATTACCATAAATATTACTAACATAACATCAGTTGTAAATAAGAAAGTTGTACAATGACATAGGTTCTCCCAAAATTTATAATTCAATACTAATTACACCATTCTGTAATATTTTTCAGATGCAGATTGGAATACCAGGGTTATTTATATTGTTACGACTATTGTTTTATGCATGTCAGGTATGTAATTTTGTCATTCTTTAATTGGCGCATGTATATACATTAGTCTGTCATGAAAGACAACACTGGATTTTAAATTTTATGGTCCTGTACTCGTTATGTATCGTTACATCTCCCCACTTGAGGTGTAAGGTGTGTTCGCCATATGTAGTTTCATCTCCATTTTCGACTTTGATTGCTAATGTAAATTTTTCATTTCTCTCAACAGAGACTAAAATTATATTATCACAGTCATTTGGATCGCACAGAGCATGTACAATACCATGTGACAGACGAGCAAAATGAAAATAATGGCAGCATATAAACAATAGCATATTGTGAATTCACAATGGATATGAACAATAGTTACATGTATGTATACTCGGATAATACATAATTCACTCTATTATTGATATCACTTTATATAAGTCATATATCTATGACATATACAACCATTTTAAATATTTTAAAATTAATAAATCTTCAAACGGAAATTTAAAGTATTTGTAATTCCTGAAATGAATGTTGCCATGTCAATGGAATCCTGATTTGGAGATACTGTGCAATGTTGTAAGTGCATAATATAATGAGCTATATTTATCTATAAGTAATGTTTTCCATTTTTATATCCTGATATAGATTAGATACCCTGATCACTGATGTGTTTTTCACATCGTTCATAAATAATGAAACTTTTCGTTTTACATATACCGGTAGTACCAAAACTATTTTTTAGATACCACTGGTCTTCGAATTAATTACTTTCTATAGATGAATCAGTGTGTGTGCAATGTGTATGTGTTACTTAAAATTAATCTGTAATCATTTATAAATAAACATTACAGTACAGTTCTCCTGGAAGCTTTGGCTTTTGTGGCGTCATTGTCGCCTACGCATGGATTCATTGTCGCCTCAGCATCGCATCATTGTGGCATCAGCTTTGCGTCATTGAATATTGAAGCTGTGTTCGCCTCGCTTATTTTGTGGCATCATCTTGGCCTCAGCTTCGCAGTCTCATGGCATCAACATGGCCATCTTGAAATTTCAAGGTGAATGTTCCGGCGAAGCACTCCACTCTGTATCACCTTGAAGTATTTCATTAGGACTATGTGTATGTGACAATGCCCTCACAGTTTAGAATCAGTTTAACAACAGCCAATCATATAACTTCTTTCTTCAACGCGCTTGGCCAAGCTATCAAAATCTTCGAGGCGGAGC